CGTACTTGGAGTGGAGACGAGGAGAATGAAGAAAATTAGGGATTTAGGGTCTTTTATATGAGATAGAAAAGCAAGGGTCTTCAATCGAGACCATTGATAAAATTTGGATGAGCGGATGAAATTGACTCTTGGAGTTTCATGAATCATGATCGACGGATGAGGTTAAATGAGAGTAGTGGAAATATAAAACTGGTGTTTGCAATGGAATTAGTGACAGCTTCTAAAATCCGTCGCTTTGAAATAAATATATATATTTATAAAAAATATATCGACGATATTTTCGTAAAAATATAATATAATTTTTATAAAAATATATTTAATAGTTTAGCTACCTTTATTTCGTCACTAATTCCGTCGCCCAATATTAATTAAATTATTCACCACTACTTTGTTACTAAATTCGTAACGAAAATTAGGCGGCAGAGTTTCATGCTAATGTTTAGTGACAGATTATTTCGTTGCAAAATTGTTGCTATATTATAAATCAAAAAATCATTTATTAATTTCCCAACAAAATGGTTATTCCGTCACAAATCCGTCGTTATCTAGTGATGAAATATTGTTTGTCGCTATCCGTCACTAAAATCTGTTTTTTAGTAGTGTCCCCTAACATCAATAGAAGGACACATACTTTCACCTTAATCACAAGTAGATGAATATGAACGAGCATACTTCACATAAATAAACTACACAAATCATCATTGAAAATCAAGCAGTTGTCGACAAGGCCATGATCATCATAGTACATAAAGTAGCGCCGACAAGGCCATATCATGCACAAGTAAAGTACATAGAACCGCCACCATAAGTGGAACATACCAATCATAATGTAATTCAACACCTTCATTACATAAAATAAAGAGAATTAGGGCATCGTACCACCAATCCATTCTAACCACTTCAATCCGTACCTAAACCATCCAATTTAGTACTAATAAGCCCTTACCCATGGTCATTATCATCAATATACAAAAATCTTAATACTCAATGAATATAGGTCAATTAAATATAGATTTATCAGTATAAGAAATCCTATGCATCAATTGAATACAATTCTTACTTCATTCAATAGCCCATAAAAAACTACAGTAGAATTCATAAGCATTAAGTCAATATCAAGTCAACCACAAAGTAGTCAAAAACTAGGGTTCATGAATTAAATGGGTTCATAGGTTAATTATGTTAAAATAGTCTAATAAACAACAACACAATCAATATAAAATTATTTAAAACCTTAATGCAAGAACCCATGGATAGATCATAAAAATGGACAAGTTCGTCTTTAGAAAACTTTAGATATCTCTTTGAATTTTGGGCTCCTTGATGAATAGAGTTTCAAGGATAAAAACCATACCTCAATGATGTTAATCTAAGAAATTGATGAAGAATAACTAATCGAATCTCCAATCCATGCTCTTCCTTGAGTTTTGGCTTCAATGAAGTTCTAAGGAATTTCTTAGAGAATTTGGGATTTTTATCTGGAAGAATGAATTCATCTAGGTATTTAGGACTTATATATCCACTTAAAATACTTAAAATACCCCTAAGTGACTTCCAAAACTATTATTTGGACTTGGAGTTAATTTACCAATTCACCCCTTCACTTAACAATGAAGGAGTCGAATCGCAGGTCTCACAAATGATTAGCCATCGACGGACCGTTTGTTCACAAACAGACCGTCCTGTCTAGCCTTTGTTTTGTTCAGAGACTATCCATTGGGAGCTTGATCTCACTAGGCTAAGTCTTGACCAACGCCACCAACGACAGGGCGTCGACCAGCCTACCGGTCGTCCATTGCCTAAGTCGATTGGGGCTGGCCTAGACAGCCTTTGGCTCAAACGAAGGGTCCTTCCTCAAGGACCCTTAGTTGGTCCATGGTGATATTTGTGTGGACGCTTCCATCTTGAATATGATTGTATACAAGTTTAGGACCTCCCATTTAATTTTCATTGAAAATGAACACATAAAACTCGACGAAACATGCGAAGACACACAATGTCATTTCAAGGCAAACTTTTCGAATGTCAAGAATGTTCTTGGATGTTTGACCTCCAAACTTCATAAAACTTTAAAAACTGCCTATAAATACTACAATAACTCAAATAAGTACCTCATAAGTTCATTACACACACATATAAGCACATAAACACACATGAGGAACACAGGTGGCTAGTCGTCGAACGTCTTAGTCGTCCCTTGACGTTTGACTTGCAATGCACCTAAACCTTTAGATACTGCCTCAATACAACATTATAAACCATGTTGGGACCTTATACACTCATTAAAAACATATTAGGCTATAGATTCACTTAATTCATTTTAGAGGTATTACACTAGGGTTCATAGTTTGTTAATATTCTGGGAATTTAATGTTTAATTATTAATTTCCGTATATGAATTTTTGTATGTAGAACACGAACAATTATAAAGAATCTAAAAAGTTAAGGATCAAGATGTGTAGGGTTTCAAGCATGTTTCGAGGTAGGTGAAGGTTGTGATTTCATGATTGTGTGATATACACTTTCTTTGCTTCGTTGTGATACTTGTATATGTATGCATATTGCAATATTGATCATAGATGTTGAAATGAGATATATGAATATCGATACCACGAAATCATGAATTTAATATGTGATCTTGATGTGTTAATGTGATGTGTGATTGGCATCGGCTGCCCCGTTCCAGCATTCTAACTTGGGTCAGATTATTACATTTCAACATGCTAACTGGATCGCTTGCCACGTTCCGGCATAAAAATTGCATCGGATTTCCACATTTTGGCATGCTAACAGTTTGACTCTGGGTTCCGTGAGAGGACCAACTATGTGTTGAACCATGTGAATTGTGATGTTGATTCTTATGATAATACTGAATATGTTTTAATTTATGAATGCGTCATAATGTTGTAATTTCTTGTTTATGTTGCATTACCGGGATAGCCGTGTGATTCTAACATCACACGGTGGTTATGTACTAATTTTGTACTTGCTCTTATTTTTGTTGAGTACAGGGCATTTTCACTTCACAGTTGATAAAACTTACTTAGGAGATCAGTGATCGCTTCGAGTTCAAAGGTGAGCCACATTGTCGGGGATGCCATGAAATTCTCTTTAGTCTCTATGTTCACCATTTAGGACCTAGACCTTGTTTTAGTTAGTTAGATAGTTCACTAGAAAATTCTTGTTAGATTTGGTTATCGTTTCTAGTTTTGGTACATTGACTTTCGGACTCTAGGTTTATCTTCCGTATTGTTAGTTTAGTTATTAGATCTTTATTTAGTAATGGAATTTAACTTAGTTATTTAACCTTCTTCAGTAACTTAATTGCCTTAGTTATAGATTACTTACTTTAGTTTAATGGTAGTAACGGTTCTCCCACCGGGTTGTTCGTGTGGGTACGAATCACAATGGTTTGAGTTGTGATAAATTTAAATCAGCCCACTAGAATCATGATTAATGATCTCGGCTACCGCAATAAAATGGATATTAATAACCTATTAGATGGGTGAAAATGATGCATGTTCACAGGTCAACATCTTAAAAGAAATTTTGGATGTCGTTGAAAAAATAATGTTGATGATAAAGTGGAAGATCATATAGCACATTCGGAACCAGTTACGCATAAGGATGAACTTTGGTTTTTTTGCGAGGACCAATTATGTTTAAAAGCATGTGAATTGTGATGTTGATTCTTATGATAGTATTGAATATGTTGATATTTATGCACGTGTTATAATGTTGTAATTTCTTATTTATGTTTCACTAGTGGGATAACCACATGATCCTACCAGCACACAGTGTTGGCGTACTAATTATGTACTTGCTTTTATTTTGTTGAGTACAGCACATCTTTGAGCAACTATTGACAGACCTCGCTTAGGAGATCGATGAACACTTCGAGTTCGAGGGTGAGCCACATCTTTCTGGCTACCATGGTATTCTCTTTAGTCTATGTCCACCATTTTTTACCGAGACCTTGTTTTAGTTATTTAGATAGTTTACTAGAAAATTCTTGGTAGATTTGGTTATCGTTTCTAGTTTTGGTACATTGACATTTACATTTAAGGTTTATCTTCCGCAATGTTAGTTTAGTTATTAGATCTTTATTTAGTAATGGAAATTAACTTAGTTATTTAACCTGCTTCAGTAACTTAATTGCCTTAGTTTTAGATTACCTGCTTTAGTTTGATGGTCGTAACGGTTCTCCCACCGGGTTGTGCGTGTGGGTGCCAATCACGATGGTTTGGGTTGTCACAAATTTAAATCAACCCACTAGAGAAAATGTCATTCATAAACTTGAGTTCATGGTTAATGATCTCGGCTACCGCAATAAAATGGGCGTTAATAACCTATTGGATGGGTGAAAATGATGCATGTTCAAAGGTCCACATCTTTGAAGAAATTTTGGATGTCGTTAAAAAAGTAATGTTGATGATAAAGTGGAAAATGATACAGTACATTTGGAACCAGCTACGCCTAAGGATGAACTTATTGATTTATATTATATGATGCACTTTGAAAAGAAAACACCAAAACTTTTGTATGCAAAAAGAAAAGTTAGATATGAGCTTCAACTAGATTTAAATTTTCACAAAAAACATAACAGAATAAAATCATATTTCACTAAATTGTCTTAAATAAATTTATATTTTTAAGACTTATTAATTTATAATATTAATGGAATCATATTATATATAGGAGTCTTCGAAAAATATATTATCTTATCGAAATGATTAATTTTTTCTGTTGTCCCAAATTTGAACTAGAGAATATTATCTTAGAGAGGTTATTAAATAATTAATGAAATGTTAGTATAGTGTGGTTTTACTGTACCTCGGTGCATACCTTAATTTGGAATAAAAAAATGTAATGATTGAATGAGTCATTAGATAAATAAATGTTTATGAATTAATTATTAGTAGAATGAGTCTTTTGGGTAAATAATAAATTTAATGGTCGTAAGTGATGCAGCTAAGAATTCGGCATTGTTATATTGAAAATGTCTACACAAACTTGTGTTCCAATTTTAATTTTTACCGGACATTGTTGAATTGTAGAAAATAATAATATTGTATCATCTGGTGAACTGGAAAACAAAATGGAAGAAAATGGGCATAAAGAGCATCTCATAGTGAAGCATAGGGAGGAGTTGTTTATGGTATATTTCAGTACTGTTGTGGCTGTTTGTGGCTCTTATGCATTTGGAACATGTGTAAGTTGAGAAATCATACTATTGTTACTTTTATTTTTCAAATATATGTATGTATATATATGGTGGTGATGCATGCAGGTTGGATATTCATCTCCCACACAATTTTCTATAATGGATGAACTTAGCCTCTCCTTTTCTCAGGTTTTGCCATCTCCCCTAATAATTAATTTTTCATCAATGTTGAATAATTTATTATCTTTTGTTGCACCATAATATAGATGTGGACCAAAGAAACATCCAATTATTATTATTTAGGTAAACAACCATCCACAATCTTGCTTGTTTTGTTTTTGCACAAACTTGCTCAATAACTCTTACTCAATATCAGGGTCTAGCCAATATTAATGTCACCTACTCTCTTTGTTCAATTTAATGTGACTTGTTTTTTGTCATCAATTCAAAAAGAATGATACATTTTGCTTATTTGGCAAATAGTTAATGAAATTATAAATATATCATCCATATTGGATTCCAATTATTTGGAAAAGAACTAGGGAAAGGTGTACTCTTCTGTGTAAAAATTTATTTATTTTTGAGAATAATTTTGAAAAAAATCGCATAAATTAAAAAGGGGAATAAATGTGACTACCGGCAAGTTGATAGTACATTGTGAGACATCCAACTTACATGTGTTTTGGACGTTTTATATATCTCTTGATACCAATTTTATCACATCCCATAAACGAGGGACATAACCAACACTTGCTATCAACTTACACCAATTGTGTACAAACATATCTATCTATCCATTTACCATATATAAGCATAACACTCCGCATAAATCTTTGGAAAATTTTAATTTTCTTATAAACATTTAAATACAAGTCTCATTATCTCAAAACGTAGGTTACGATTTTGGCCAAAATACTTTAATGTGTGATAACATTGACGTCAACATAAAAATCATAAAGAAAATATATATCCCAAGTACATGACTAGATCTTACTAGTGTGTTTCTAGACATGTAATGATATACATACATACATGAGGATAATAGAACTCCTAAGCATGAATCGGTTGATAAAAATAGTGACTGCCACCATTAATTTTTCATATCGTATACACTCGTGACGTTAATCAATTTCTCTAGATATAATTTGGTATTCGCTATCAATTAATATGTTGTTAAAAGATCATACTTGATTCGGTCTATCATGTTAAGACTAAGAAATCATGAGATGAGAAAGATAAATCAAATCAATTGTGTTAATTGCTTGGTCTCTTATAATTGTTTTTTTTTTCAGATAAGAACATAAGATGAATGGAAATTAAGATAAGACTTTATGAGAAATATCAGTATGCTAAATGATATAGGGTTCTTTAATCTATAATCTATAAATTATATATTATTCTAAATAAATGTATACAATTTAAGCTCGTGAGGTATTCTCTAGTCTAATCAAGTACGAATATGAATGAGAATAGAATTGATTTATGTTTGAGAGAGAAATGAAGAAATTAGATTCAGAATACTACAGATCTATATAAATAATAAATATTTGTTATATATTAATTTAATAAATAATAAAAAGCCACTAGTATAATTATAACATTGATCCTCCTGATCTGGTGATTTTTGTTGGTTAAATAAGCAAGAGCTTTTGCGTTCATCAATGAAAAATATTTATTTTTTTCCTTCTTACTTCTCCAATTTTTCTTGATTCTTTATTAAATCAAGAAAAAACATCTGTGCGATTATAGATTGTGAATATTTTGGTGTAATTCGTGTTTAATAAAAATGTGATTGCACTATTAGCTTATCTTGCGAAATGTTTAATTTTTTTAATAGATTTTTTCATAAACCTCGCGTCACCATCTTATAACAAGCCCTAGAGGTTGCATGTCACTTTTTTGTCAGGCTCAATTAAAATATTTTCATGTATTTCTTTCATGATACCATTCTTATGTTGAACGGGATACATTTCAGGGTCAATTTAAACATGCTATTGAAGTTTTAATTGTTGGACAATATGATAATCACACCCAGGATAATGTTCAAACTAAATAGCAATAGGAAGAGAGTAAAAATGACATCAAATATTAAAATGGGTAAATTTGATATCCGAATAACTAATACAATAATATTGATGAAAAATTTTATAGAGTCAAAAGACTACTAGTCAACAATCTTTATTTCTTACAACTCACAAAAATATTAATTGCACACTGTTTTCTCACAAACTAAGAAGTAGTTTGTGGATTACTCCCTCTACACTCTATTGCTTCTCTATATTGGTGTATCTTCAAGTGTTCAATTACTACTCTATTTATCGAGTTTTTTTAAAATACTTATTTACATCATTAATGACATAATATGGTAGCCGATTTCCACAAAAATTTGGCTGCCTAACTCTACCAAACTTATACCAAGCTTTGACTACCTACTTCCCCAAATGTGGCTATCAACTTTCACATTTGTGGCTTGTTATTTCAACAAGTATGGTTGCCAAATTAATTGTTGCCAAGATTTATTTCAACATTAATTATAATATTCAAATCATATAGGAAGATATTTCTTATTAGAATAAAATCATTATATTCTAAAATAGTATATTCTTAATATTATATTGATTTCCATTAAGATTTTGATATATTCATTTGTATATTAAGATTTGAATAAAATCTAGATGTCTAGATTTGATTATATATCTAAATATTAAGATGTGGTATCTAGATCTAAACACTAAATGACTAAAAAGGTTTGTTTTCAATATTTAAATATGCATAAGAAATAAACTATTATATTAATAAAATGTCGTTAAGAAAATATATTTCTTTTAATAGGAATAATATATTAAATATTTACATTTGATTAAAGAATTAAATTACATGATAGGAAAATAAGAATAAAGCCCTCTTGATGCGATGAGAAAATGGCTAGTATTCAAGGCTAGTCCCAAGAAAGCAAGCTAAAGGGCTATCCTGATAAGAAGATGAAGCCTGATCGGGCCAAAAATGAAAGCAATCGAAGGAATGGGTAGAGCATGTTCTATTTTTCTAAATCTTTTATTATAGTATAAATATTTCTAAGAATTTAAAATAAATTTTTTTGTAAATTAATTATTCAACTAATCAAATGGTGTTCCAATTCAATCATTTAGTGTCAAAAAAAAAGAGGAAGAAAGTTTGTAGCAATGAGAGAAAAGTCATTCAAAGAGTGATAGAGATGAGATGATATTATTTTATAACTTATTAAATAATTTTGAATGTTGTTAAGACTTTTCTACAGATTTGATTAGTTTAGAATTTTCCAAATCTATTAAGTAATTTTATTTTTTCAAAAAAATTAAATAAATAGAATTAACGGGTTGAATATGAGTGGTTCATATTCGAACCTAATAAATGAAACACACTTATCATTTCTTTGCTTTAATATTAAGACGTCAGAATCAGAGCATCTGAATATTAAGATGTGCATTAAGATCTAGTTGTATAAATCTGAATGCATATGTGAATATTAAGATGTGATCTCTAAGTATGATCACCTAATGATTAAGATTGTTTGTTTTCAGTATTTGAATGTGCATATGAAATTAAACTTTATAAAATATTATAAAATTTCCATTTCAACAAAAAAAATATTACTTTTTAATAAAAATAAAATTTTAGATTTTTATATTTTATTTAAAATAATTATATGATATGTAAATAAAAATTATATATTGATATAAAAATTATTGTAACATGATTTCTTTTAAGAATTCAACATAAAAATCTTTTAATATGAAAATATGTCACAAAAAAATTCGGAGGCATAATAATGGTATCAAAAATTTCAATAGGTATGATAGATACTAGTCGAAAAATAATAAAGAAGATTTTACATCATCAAAGCATAACACATATTCTAGGTAATCAAAAAAATTGTGTTTTTTTGTTTGAATGACTTTAATTTAATTCTCTAACTTGTGAACCTCTAGCATTATCATGCTTTTGTTTTTCAGTTGTCATCTTCAAAAAATATACTAACATTTGTATTATATAATGGTTTTCCCCATCCAATTTAATATTAATTTTTCTTTGCATTCTTCAATGTCAGGTGCACTATTTTAGTCAATAACTTCAAAGCAATACTCATCTTTTCATTAATTTCTTCCTCAAAATTTTTCTTTCAACTAAAACTGAATATTGTGATGAAGAATTATTAGGAGCTCCAACATTTTTGCCACCAACTAGATATAACTTTAACTTGGACTCCAATCATGAACTCCTTTTGTTATACAACCTTCAAAAAAAATTGTACACTAATTTGTAATGAAATTAAAGGGAAGAGATCAAATCTTCAATGTCTTTGGATTAAACAAATTAAATTTCCACAAGAGACTTCATATATGTATATATAGTTGTTATTTTAATCATGACTACTATGTTTTTACTCAAACATCTTTAGTTATCGATAAACATCAATACACCAAAAAATATTATTACAACAAGAGTTCTCAATACAGCACAAAAAACTTGTTAATATAAGAAAATACTTGTACAAATTATGAAAACTTACCAGTTCAAAAGGAAAAAATTGGCGTTTGGTTGAAAAAAAGAGTAGAAGAGTGTTTGAAGAGAGAGAGAGAGAGGTAACTTGATTTTTTTCTAGCGTATTAAATAAGTATGAATGTTATTAAAATGACCTAAGGATTTGATTCGTCCAGATCCACTCAGAGGCTTTTTAAAATAAGAAACAAAGGAACATAATTAGGTGAATCTGAATGATAAGATTCAGAACTAAAAACTAATTAAACGCATGGACCGAATCTAGATGATTAAGATTCAAATCTTCATTAACTTCAAAAAATCATGTCTTAAAGAGCTAAATCAAAATAATAAAAATTCAAACTTTCATTAAGTGCAAACAAATAAGGCCTTAATCAATGTGATTTTTTTATTTTAATATTTCGATACATGCAAACATGAAAATAATGTCACACTACAAGAAAACAATACATAACGAGTAAATGGATAAAAGAATAATAATTATATATGGAGTATCTTGAAATATTATTATAATTTAACAATTTCAATTACTATAAAGTTGTGTTTTTATTGAAATGCAGTACTCCATTTTTGGATCAATATTAACAACTGGTGCAATGCTTGGTGCAATCACTGGGGGACGAATTGCAGATTTTTTAGGCCGAAAAGGAGTAAGAACTTGTTGAACATTGATCTATAGATCTACAATATTAATGACAGTGTTCATTTATAGAGTTTTGATAAGTAGAAGTGTATGAATTTGTATTTGATATCAATATATATTGTGATACATTCAATAAATATATGTATATGTTAATCGATCAGGCGATGAGGCTATCATCTGTAATATGTGGTGCTGGATGGTTAGCAATCTACCTTGCTAAGGTTTGTATATCTTCTGTTTTCCTCACAGTACATTCAAACTTCAAATAAATAAATGTTGTGATTTCATAATTGAAGGAACCGATGGTACTATACTTGGGGAGATTTTTAGCAGGCTATAGCATTGGTATTATTTCTTATGTGGTATGTGCATTTCTCTTCTTTTCTTTTAGATAAAAAAAAGATCCATTTAAACATCTCATATTATATATATATATATATATATATATATATATATATATATATATATATATATATCACATCGCATGTAGGTTCCAATGTTCGTTGGAGAAATATCGCCAAATAAATTGCGAGGAGCACTATCCTCCACTAATCAGGTAGGTACTGGTACCAACAACAAGTTTTTATTTTAATTTGTTGAAAAATACTTGTGTTTCCTGGGAAGGAATAGGCCAATCACAAAAAAATGTTTCAACTTGTTTACTACACTAGAAAATTTGCGTCACGCCCCAAGCCTTCACCCTGGATGTGGTTAGCACTCGAGAATCATTGATGCCCCCTAAGTGAACCCTTGGTCGCAAACTCTGAATATCTAGAAATAAACATTCAAACTGGCCTCAAGGGAAACTTTAAGTCTAGAACATAACAACTTAAATGAACAAAACTCAGGCACTAACATTTATCTAACTATGAAGCTCTACTAACTGTGATGGACGTATGGACAAGACCCCTGACATTCTAATAAAAAAATCAAATGAGTGAAAGTAAAAAAGGATCCTCCGATTGAAAGGAGGCTTACCAACAACTGTGGAGCTAAATTGGTTCAACGAAGCACTGGATTCTGATCTTGATTACATGTATCTGCATTATAACAGATGCAGGTCAAATAGTGTCAATACTTGGAACGTACAAGCAGGTGAGAAAAAATCTAAAACATGACATAAGCTTGAACTGGAACTGAAAAAATCACTTACCTCATTTCAGTCAACTAAACTCATTTAAATATAAAGCACTGATAAAGATGCAATATAAAGAAAAGATTTTAAAATAGTAGAGACCAACTCAATGTAGTGAAGAATACAATAATAATTTGGTTTGTATGCAAAAATACAAAATAACATTGTTTGAGAGATACTTTAACTGACAACCATCACTATGAGCTATGTGTAGATACAATGTCTAGCTCGTGCTGCCAGAACTATCATATAATTAGGTGGGGTGTAGAACTCCTTGATTAAGTTGATCCACTAATATTTTTTAAAATCCAATAAGGAATCATCTAAAATTTACGACCCTTTCTATTCATATTGGCTACATGGTTTAAGGGGGTTGTGAGTTGTTAAAACCCTCCCCCATATTGGTGCATAATACCACTCCCAAAATATTATGTTTAGACAAAACATTTCCTCTTCCTCATGTTTGAGATTATTACTTAAAAGGATTCTCTATAAAAAGTCTATATTGAAAACTGTTCATGAACTCTTTAGAGAATTGTTGTTTCCTCTGATCTTAAATTTAAAAACACTTACTCTTGGAAATAGTTGGTTTCATTTATCATTTTAAAGAAAATAAACTCAAATCTACTCTTCATCAACTCAAACACTCAAGTCAGCAAACAAGTTTAAAAGATTGTAAAAAGATAAAAACCCATAAGTCTTTGTAACATTAGAGAACCTCATCATAACCCTTGTTAAATCCTACTTGTGCAATGCATAAGTGTAGTCTCATACCCCACTCATTCTAAGTAGTACCTTTGAAGGATCATAGCTAAATTCAATTTTCATAGAATAATTCATATTCGTATGATATAGGGAAAATAACATTAACCGACATAGACCATGCAAGCTACATAAAATTCAAAATTCTATCCTCCACACCAAAAACAGGTGTCTTACTTGCCTAAGGTAGAACTAGCATATTTAGCTTTGTAGGTGGATCCACTAGCTAAAGACCTATGTGGTCACATAGTTATGGGATATGAATATTTCTACTAGAAACACTAACTACTAACGTGGAGGTTTCCATGTCATGAGATAACGGTATTCGGAACCAGACTACTAGCATGAAAGAGCCTATCTCACAATCATATCCACTCGGCACTAAGCATAATTCCCTTTAAAAGTCATATTAATTCGTTATTTAAGTTCATGTTCGTAAATGAATGTAGTAGACATTAAAGTCAACTTGCTATCATTATAGCTCATGAATTTATTAGGTGAGAATGTCCTTTCAACCTTAGAATCATTAATACGTGAGTAAACCTATAACATCATATTCATAGCATTTCATGAGAATGTCCTTTCAATCAACATAACAAGATTATTATATACATACATACATATTTCATGCATAATAAAGTTTTTAAGGTTATAGGGAAGAAGGATCTTGCATCAATATCACGATAACACAATAGTGATAGGATCATCACCATCTAAGTAAATCACAAATTCATATACAATCCTCATCAACATGTATGAAACTTAACAAGTTGCCCCTTAAGCCTATGAATCAAGATACACCTTAACTTCTAGAATTGTAACATTATGTATAGAAATTCCATGATCCAACAACTAACTAATGTAAACATAATCAATTGTCAAGCTCCAATCATCAATCAAGCCATACCATAGTTCACAGTTTAGGAAAAGGGAGAAATTGTGGGTCCAAGGGAGATTTTCATCATAATTTTACAGTACTCAAACATTCCAATCATAAATTATCATAATCAACCAAAATTAAACAATTGAAACCATATTGGGAGAAGACCTATTATATAGATTGAAAAACCTTATGTTTAAAGAATTTGTATTCTTAAAACATAATTTTAAGGGGCAATTTGGGTGATAGCTTCCCAAAGATGAAAAATATTCATACATTAGGTTGAATAATATACAAAATTGGATAATAGAGGTTGTTTCTTAAACCCCTAGATCTTTCTATTCGACGGAGTCTTAGAGAGAGAAATTTTGAACAGGAGAGTTAGTTTCTAGTTTAATTCTTATGAGGTATCATGACTTTTGAGGGTAGTTATTAGTCATAAAAGATTTAAATATATGTTATAAAACCATAAAAAAAATTCCCTTAACTCTAATCAATTAATAAGGAAATTACCAACCTAACTCTCCTAATGGTTGAAACTAGTGTGCTTTAGGTGGTGAGCCACAAAATCCCCACCCACGGACCGTAGATGGGTCACACCACGTACTGGAAAGGAGTAGTTTTGTTTAGAAAGGAGGAGGACCAAGGGAAAAATAGGGAGACTATGTCTTGACCCACGACCCTCACCTACAGTGTGTGGGTCACCTCACGGTTTCTTAGTGCCCATTCGTAGGTCAAGCTCTCTTTTGACAACTTTTAGGGTCTTCTCCTCAAGAACCCATGGTGGGTCCTTGAGGGTCGTCGATGACGTTTAAACCCAACAATATTTGCACTAACTTTTGGAGGTAATTTTAGGACTCTAATCATTATGTTGAACCCCATTTAGGATACTAGACTACATGTTAGGGTTTAGGTTAGTTCATAAGATTTTATGGGTATTACACTATCTCACCCTAGGAACATTCATCCTCGGTGTTTATCTAAACACCAAACAAAGTTACAAACTCTATATTAGCATCCCATTATGCATGAAACATCAAAAATGTGCAAAACTCGCAAATGACCTATTCACCTCTTGCACTATTCAAAGGAGGAAACTTCGACTCCATATTAAGACATGGCCAATGCAATACAAGGAAGTAGGAACTACATCTACCAACCCAATATGCCAAAAAAAACTCACGAATCCACATAATCATGGGAACTACCTTCTATAAGTCAAAGCAAGTTAAACACCACAATATGGAGCCAACATGTAATTCCATCAAAAACACAACTAAGCATGTTCATCAATTCACCTCATGTAGTCAAATATGCAACCATAATACTAAAATGCAAATCAAAATGAGGAACATATAAATCATGAAATCTCAATTTATGCTAAACATGAATTTGTACAAGCACATGCGCAACATAAGGAAAACATTGAAAATCATATTATGCACAAGACTCCCAAAAAGTACAAACTTAAGAGGAACTACCTATGTGAAGCGTGAAAAAGAGTAGAACGAAAAGATGAGGATAACGAAACTTCATCTCGTCCTCGGCCTCCTATGTAGAACACTCAACTAAGTGATTCCTCCATAGGACCTTAAGGAAGCTACTTCCTTATTTCTCAACCTCTTGACTTTTCGGTCTAAAATCTCTCCCGAAACCTTCTCATAAGAAGGACTCTCGTCAATTCCTAAACCCTCTAAAGGAAAGATATATACAAGATCCTCAATGAACTTCTAAAGCATGGAAACATGAAACACCGGGTAAGCCACACCTAATTCATTTGGCAAGTCTAATTCGTATGCAACTTTCCCAACACATTTTAAGACATGGTATAGGCCCTCGTATTGGGGACTAAGCTTCCCCTTCTTACCAAACCTCATAACACCTTTCATGTGTGAGATTTTCAAGTAGACCCAATCACAAATTTCAAACTCTAGATCCCTTCTTTTATTATCGGCATATGATTTTTTCGATGACTATGAGCCGTATTTAAGCTCTCTCTAATAAGTTGAAATTTTTCAATGGTCTCACAAACCGGTTCATCACCAATGAGAGAAAATTCATCTACTTCAAACCAACGAACTGGGGATCTACACCTCCTACCATACATTGCTTAAAACAAGGTCATGACAATGCTTGAGTGCTAACTATTGTTGTAGGAAACTCTATCAATGGGAGATTGGAATCCCAATTACACACGCCCTCAACATGTCTTTTAAGTTTTTATTTGTGTGTTCCTCTTGACCATCTGCTTGATTGTGGAAAGCAGTACTAAGTTTTATATCAGTACCAAGCCCTTTTTGGAATGTCTTCCAAAAGTGTGAAGTAAATTGAGCCCCCCCCCCAATCCAAAATAATATACAAGGGAACCCTATGCAACTTCACTATTTCATTGACGTATGATTTGGCATAATCTTTCGCCGAATAAGAAATCTTGATTGGAATAAAGTGGGCTCATTTTACCATTCTGTCCACAATGGACCAAATAAAATCATATTGGCTTCGAGTTTGAGGAAAACCCAGAACAAGGTTCATATTTACATCCTCCACTTCTAAGTGGGAATATCTATATATTGGGGAAAAACTACAAGTTTTAGGTGTTCGGCCTTAACTTGTTGACAATTCGGACATTTGGCCACAAACCCCATTATATCCTTCTTCATATCATTCCTCCAATAGACTTCTCGTAGATCACGATACATATTTGTAGCTCCTAGATGAATAAAATAACGTGAATCATGATCCTCTTCTAAAATTTTATCCCTTACGCCATCAACATCCGAAACACATAACCTACCTTGGTACCTAAGCACCCCATCTCCCCCATGGGAGAAAGTCTCAACTGACTTGTTGAGAACCGATTGTTTCAAATTTATTAAAATGGGATCAAGGTGTATCTTAAACTTTACATCCACAAGAAAAGACGATTCAGAACTATGATGGACCATGGCACCACCCTTGGTGACTACATAGACACCTAACCAGGCCAACCCACGAACTAATTCCTTCTTCTCATATTCTACATGAACCACATTACCTATGGACATTCGACTTAAGGCATCCGAAACTACATTAGATTTTTCGTGGTGATAAATGGGACTTATGACATAATCCTCTAAAAGTTATAACAATCTTCTTTGTCAGAGATTCAAGTCTTTATTGTTAAGCATATATTGGAAACTCTTGTTATCACTGAAAACATCTACATAGCCCCTACATAGGTAGTGCCTCCATATTTTCAAAGAAAACACCACCACCACTAATTTGATATAATGAGTTGGATAATTTTTTCATG